GTCGGCACTCCACAACCAGACAGCCTAGAAATCTACACGGATGGTTCTGCTGCAGCCGATGGCAATGACATTCGCCCATGTGCATGGGCTTTTTCTGTTTTTGCTCTGGTTGGCGGCACGCGTCTATTGGTCGGACATGCGTCGGCCCCAGCCTTCCCGGCCAGCAGCGTATTCCATCTTGGCGAGTCCAAAGATGATGCACTGACTGCAGAGTTGCTAGCACTTTGCTGGGCATTGTGCTGGGCGGCGCAATACGGAAGAGCTTTCAGTGTTCCCATCGAATTTCTGTACGATGCACTTGCGGCTGGAGGAGGCGCTTTTGGAGTCACAGCTCCGGTAGGTTCCGGAGAGCCTACGCCATACCTCTCTCTTGCCAATTTCGCTGTTGTCCTACGACAATATGTCACAGAACTCCTGCCTGCTCACCACAAGCATGTCCGAGGCCATACAGGGTGCTTAGGCAACGAACTCTGTGATGCCTTGGCGAAACATGCAAGACATCTCCCACAAGACGATTCGTCCTTTTGCCTACCTGCGTGGCCATGCCAATGGGCTCGACATCCACTGCGGGACTGGGCATGGACCACCCTGCCGGGCCTCACTGATTTGCCACAGCTGTATTGTTTTGGGGTCGAAGCTAGCCTAAGCCAGACACAGCCGCGACCCCCTACTTGCAGCCCTTGCTTTGGCATATCCGACTGCCAAGCCCCTGCAGCACAAGTCAGCTTCACACTTTCCTGCATATCACTCAATGTGCTCACACTCAGGGAGCCCAAAAAAGCAAGGACAGGCAGACAAGCCGGCATGCAAATTATGGGCCGGAAGGACGTGCTTAAAGCCTCTCTCCAACCCTTTGAACCACTTTTCGTTGGGCTCCAAGAAACCCGACTTCCAGAATCTGCCATGCAAGCAGATGCAGATTATCACATCTATGCCTCCGGGGCAACAGATGCCGGTACAGGAGGTTGCGCCCTCTGGATTGCCAAGCGACTGCCCCTGTACACGGAGAGCGACTGCCCTTTCACAGTCCGAGCCAATGACGTCACGATTGTCAGTGCCTCTCCCAGACATATCACTGCCAACCTCGTGACCCCGCGCTTCCAGCTTCAAATACAGGTCCTGCATGCTCCCTCCGCAGCGTCAGTTCCCATCACTGAATGCCAAGCCTTTTGGAACGATCGCGCATGTGAACTCCTGCAACGCCCCGAGGGCGCGGATTTCATCATTCTATGCGACGCCAACTCACGACTTGGTGACTGTGTATCCGACTTTGTCGGAGATCATGGAGCCGAGCGCGAAGGGCCTGCCGGCGAGGTTTTCCATGCCTTTCTCGCCAAGGTTGGCGCACTCGCGCCCTCAACTTGGGGCCAGTGGCACAAGGGCAGTCCGCACACGTGGTGCTCTCCATCCGGAGCTTGGCCTCGAATCGACTACGTTTTGATACCCGATACCTGGCGACATGCCGTTCTGGTGTCGAAGACCATCACCCAGGTCGAAATGCTACAGCTTCGGGAAGATCACCTTCCAGTTCACCTGCTCTGCGCTTTCACACGGGCATTGCCACCTGCCTTTTACCAAACCAGCAAGAAACGCGTTTTGCGTCCAGAAAAAGCGGATCTCACCGCGCAAGAAATTGCGTCATTCTCCTGTGCCGTGCCAGCTCAGCCATGGCATAGTACTGCCGACGAACACTATGCACAGTTAGTACATGCCTGGCATGACTTTGGCAACACCATTGACTCGGCACAACCGCCACCACCACGTCAGCCCTATTTGACCGACAGCACACTTGATCTGGTACAAGCAAGGAAGGCCCTGCGTCCAAACCTCAAGGCTGAGGCTACCGAGCGCAAGTTGCGTTGGCTTATCTTGGGTTTTGGAGCTTTCGTGCTTCACAGCCGTGGAGAATCCTACAACATGCAACAACTGCGGTTAGCGGCGGATCAATGGCTCCGGGCAGTCGACCGCAGCGAGGCGATCGTCGTTGCTAATTACCGGCGTACAGCATTCGCCCTTCGGAAAGCCGTTGCTGCGGACAAAATCGCCCATGTCCAGATTCTTGCTGACGATCTTGCTGCACGCAACATACAGGACTCCAAAGCATTATACCAAGCGCTCAGGAAGGTGTTCCCTGCAGCCAAAGCCTCCAAACGTGCATCGGTCCGTGCCTTGCCTATGCTGCAAATGAAGGACGGCACTTTCGCTGCTACTACTTCAGACAGGGCAGAGGCGTGGAGAGAACACTTTGCCTCTCAGGAGGCCGGCACTCTGGTCACGTCGAGTGAATACATTGCCGACCTCGGGGCCTCGCATGTGCTCCCCTACGCACTGGACATGCGAATCCCGCCCTCTTTGGCCCGCATAGAGCAGCTCATCCTTTCTGCCAAACGAGGCAAAGCAGCCGGCCCTGACGGCGTGACGGCAGAACTCCTGAAATTGGATACACCAGCTGCGGCAAGACATCTCCTACCATTATACCTTAAGGCCACACTCAGGGTGCGGGAACCAGTTGCTTTTCGAGGAGGAGATTTGTGTTGCCTCGCCAAGCGTGCAATAGGCACGCTAACATGTGAAGCATTCCGGTCTATCCTTATTTCGTCGGTACCTGGAAAGTTGCTGCACCGCAACCTTCGGGAAGTACTCAAGCCCCTACTTGTCACCACCCAACCCGTCTTTCAGGCGGGGGTAGCGGCAGGCCAGGGCATCGAGGGAGTCGCCCTTGCAGCTCGTACATTCTACATGCTGCATGCTGGCCGAAAGTCTTACGCTGCACTTGCCTTTTTCGACTTACAGGCTGCGTTCTATGGCATTCTGCGCCAGACTCTCGTGCCACACACCGAAGATGACTCTAGCCTGCTACGTGTGTTTCACGGGCTCAATATTCCCGCCGACGCCATTCGCGAACTTAGGGACCATCTTGCGTCCCTTGCTCAACTACCACTGTTAGGTGCTTCATCCCATGCCATTGCGGCTGTGCAAGACCTTTTCAGAGGTACCTGGTTTCGGCTGTCGGGGTTCCCAGCCCTCACATCCACCAAGAAGGGATCGCGACCTGGAGATCCCACCGCCGATCTTCTCTTCGGGTTTAGTCTTGCAGCTGTCTTCAAGGCCGTACAGCACCGTTTAGCCGAGGCAGGTTTGGAGCCCGAAATGCCTTGCCTCCACCGTCCTGACTGCATCGCGGTAGAAGGGCCAGTACAACTGGGACAGCCTGCTTGGGCTGATGATTTCGTAGCACCCCAGACAGGGCCCACGACTATTGACCTAGACAAGCGAACCGGAGCTACGATCAGCACCATCGTCGACTATACTACCTCTGTTGGTATGTCGGTCAAGTGTGGGCGAGACAAGACCGCCGTCCTGTTCCCTCCTTCCGTTGTTTCCGAGGCCTCACACCTCTTTAGCTGTGATGAGCATGGCCAGACATGCATTGTGCTCGACAACCACATAACCCACACCCAGTACCAGGTGCCTGTTGTGGAGTCGTACCGGCACCTTGGAGGTATTGTCACCTCCACGGGTACGCCAGTCCCGGATCTCCATTTTCGGCATGCACAGGCCTCAGGCACCGTGAAGCCACTGCGGACAAAGTTTTTCAGTGCAAGTGAATACCCGCTGACCACCAGGGCATACATATTACGCTCGCTCGTGATTTCCAAATTTGCCCATTCCGCTGCAACGCTTATGCTCGGCGTTGCCTGTCATGCGCGTGTTTGGGAGCAGCACTATCTTTCTTTGTGGCGTACGCTGTTCAAGCGCCGTTCCGCATCGGAGCAGAAGCATTGCTATCAGATCCTGCATGAAGCCAAAGCCACGTCGCCTACCCTCGCACTCGCCAGAGCGCGCGCAAGTTTCCTCGCGCGACTTTTCCAACATGGCCCTAAGGAACTTCTTGCGCTTCTATGGGATCACTGGGTGTTGCAACCCCGCACGGCCTGGCTCACACAACTTCGGGAAGACATCTCCCTTGTAGCAACATACATTCCGATTGTTGTAGAACTGCTAGGGCCAGATCGGGTGCTTGGGATCTTGGAGGTCTACCAGCAGGATCGACATTGGTGGCTACGTCAGGTCAAGGCCGCCACCAAGCTCTTCCTCGAGGACCTGCAAGCTTGGCACGACGCCAGAGTCGCTGCGGGACGCTGCAAGCTTCCACGGCCACCGCCGGCAGGGGACTATAGTTGCTACCTATGCCAGGCATCTTTCCCCCTCCGCAAACACCTGCACGCGCATCTTGCCAGAGCCCATCAGGTGTTTTCACCGGCACGCCACTTTGCCATTGGCGAGACCTGCACTGCCTGTCAGAAAGTGTTCCCCAACATTCTTCTGACACAGCAGCACCTCAAGCGGTCCGATTCTTGCCTGCTCCGCTGCTTGTATTTGCATGCCCCCCTTACATGTGAGCAATTCCGAGCACTAGAGGCGCCTGTGATCTCGCAGCAACGCAAAGTGCGACGAGGCGGATGGCGACACTTCCGTGGACTTGCCCCGTCCGCAAGGGCACCCACTGCCTTCGGCCCCCGCCTCCCTACCACTGCCGAAAAGCTTGAAGGGCCCCGTCACCTAGGGGATGAGAATGACCTCCTCTCTACCCTTTCTCGTGGATTTCATCCTCAACCTGCCCACGTTGTCTGGGTCACCGACTTTGTACAAGGGCGCAGCCAAGAGAGCGCGAGAATGACTGCACATAGGTTTTGGATGCAACGACCACAGGTGTCGAGGGTCCCGTCCGTTTCACTTTCCTCCGAATTTGTAGCATGATTTTTGGGACGCACCACATAGTGTCACAACACGTGACCCGTGGAACGAGAGTCCGCACAAGACAAGATAGGGGTTAGGGAGGTTAGGGTTTGGGGTTTATGGGTATAGGGGTTAGGGAGGTTAGGGTTTGGGGTCTAGAGGTTTAGGGGTTAGGGGGGTTAGGGTTTGGGGTTTAGGGGGTTTAGGGTCTCAGCGATCAGGCTGGCAGCTTCATCTCTCTCCTGGAAGACGAGGCCTCGATGCATCGCGAGCCAACGGCTCCATTAGTTAACAAAAGACCCTTGGCGGTCTTCTGGTTGGCTCTTAGGACTTTAGCTCTTTGGGGTTTCTATATGAACCATAAGAAGGAAGCTAAAAGTTTAACTTTTAGGAGGGGTTCAGAAGTCAGCCAAGGACGCATCGAGGACTTGCTCAAGGTTCTCAAGCGCATGACCCTCAACGACAACATCACGGCTTTCGAAGATGTCCTCCCAGAGCGGGTGCTTCAGTCGTTCCAGGACTTACGCCAAGCCTGTGCCTTGACGTGTGATGCCTCGCTGACGTCTCCCAAAGCCGAGAGATCCTTGAAGGAAGCTCTTGAGGACTTCCCTCTTCGGGCTCCGGCTTTAAGCTGGTTTCTCTGAGGAGATGCTTGTCGTAGGCCTTCCGATGCCTTCAGGCGCTTCATGAAGGTGGTGCGTCCAAACTCAGTCGCGGGATGTTCAAGCGGTGGTGCCTACAAGCCTTTCCTGCTTCTGGCTGATGGCTGCAATTTTGAAGAAGGCTTGGCCAAGGGCACCAAAGACAAAGCAACGACAGCAGCAGCTGGTGGCTGTGGTCTGAAATGTTTGAAATCATTTCGGCTATCCCCTGTGCGCTTTCCCGCGGGTCACCAACTCGACCAAATTGCCTACTCGGTTTGTTCTGACATGCAGAGGAGGTTGATCTTACTCGTAGATTCGGGCAATCCGGATTGAGTGGGGCACGTGCATACTATAGGGGCCTGAATCCTTAGTCCTCATTTACAAAGCTGGAATACTGTAACGTACGAGCCTGATTAAGAAGCCCTGGGCCTATAACCCCAAAATAGTAGGATTCAAATCAGGAACCCTAAATATTAGGCCCAAGGTTTCTTAATCATGTTCCTACATTACCCCAGAACCCTATTCCATGCTCGGGCCGCTATATTGCCTGCTTTGACTGGCATTGTCGGCGAAATTCCGCATAGGGCCGCACTAGCCCTTAGTGGCTAGCATTTCCAAAAAAAGAAGTATCGTGCTCCGGACTGGAAGTCTTCTTTTCCGTTACCATCCGCCTTATGTTTGAATGGCTCTGCTGTGAGACACGGGTTGCTAGGAGTCTACGGCCTAGTTTCGTGCAGACATGATGGCGGTGCATGGTGGCATTGTCAGCAACTCCTCTGATTTTTTAAGATGCTGCAGGTTGCCTTAGAACAGCTCCAACTCGATGCGTCAGAAGAAAGTCCCTTGAGTAGCTTTGTGTCAAGAGTGTTATAAGATGCCCACGGCTTGTTATTGACCCCTTGATCGTGAAGCCCCAGTACTGGGTGAGGAGAGTCGCTAAATTCCAATCTTGGTTTCTGCGCTTATGCCGCTTGAGCTGTGGGACTTCTCATCACGGTTCAGTCGCTCTTAACGATGTCCGGATCCCAGCTCCTAGCCGCAACAAGCCTAAACCCCTAGCCCTCAACCCCTTTGAGGAAAATCGGCTGTACCGTGGCCACGAGTGCACCACTGGAATCCAAGAATGGATCTGGATTCCAATGATTCCGTCTTCCTCGACCGAGCGACCCTTGAAGGAAGCTCTTGACAAAGTCTCCAGCCTGAGGCTTTAACTTGGCTTCTGGAGGAGATGCTCTAGTCGCATGCCTTCCGATGCCACACTGTTTCAGGCCCTTCATGAAGATCGTACGTGCTAACTGCTTTACGGGATGTTCAGGTGGTGCCGATAGCTCATAACCTTTCTTGTCTGTGATGGCTTCGATTTTGAAGAAGGCTTGCCAAGTGGCCTTAAGATCAACAATGTGTTTGAACTCAATTCGGCTATCCCCTCTGCGCTTTCCTGCGGAGAACCCACTCAACCGTATTGCATGTTCGGTTTGTTTTGGACACATAACAAGAGAGGAGGTCGATCATGGATACGCCTCCGGTGGCTTGAATCCGGATTGAGTTGGGTTGCGAATATGATAGGGGCCTAATAATTAGTAAAGCCCGATGACTCTCGAACATAGCTCTGGTGCAGTATCCCCTCCCCGAACCCAGCTCGCTAGTCCAACACTGTCTGGTGACGAAGGCCCCTATCTTACCTGCTTTGACTGGCATTGTCGGCGAAATTCCGATTTTGTCCCGTCTGGGCAGCCTAGCAGAGGGCCGCACTAGCCCTTAGTGGCTAGCACTTCCAAAAAAAACTATCGTGCTCCGGGCCGGAAGTCTTCTTTTCCGTTACCATCCGCCTTATGTTTGAATGGCTCTGCTGTGAGACACGGGTTGCTCGGAGTCTACTGCCTAGTTTCGTGCAGACATGATGGCGGTGCATGGTGGCATTGTCAGCAACTCCTCTGATTGTTTAAGATGCTGCAGGTTGCCTTAGAACAGCTCCAACTCGATGCGTCAGAAGAAAGTCCCTTGAGTAGCTTTGTGTCAAGAGTGTTATAAGATGCCCACGGCTTGTTATTGACCCCTTGATCGTGAAGCCCCAGTACTGGGTGAGGAGATTCGCTAAATTCCCCTCGCGGTTTCTGCGCCTATCATATCGACTGAGTCTTGATTTTTTGGGAACACCAGCCGCATCAGTTCTAAACCTTTAACCCTCAACCCCTTTGAGGAAACTGAGCGTAGCTTCCTGTAGCAGCTGTGCCATGGCCTTGATGAGTGCACCAAGAGACTCTCTCTCTCTCTCTCTCTTTCTCTCTCTCTCTCTCTCTCTCTCTCTCTCTCTGAGCCCATAAGTTAAGGTTCTCTCTCGCAGCCCATAAGTAATTGGGAGGCTGAATCCATTGAAGGCCGACTCCATCGAAGCCAGGCAATTTCTGCAGGCACGTTTTGGAGTGGCAACGTTGAGGATTCGGGTTTGTGCTGCGGAGTTTTGAGTTGTGTAAGTGTGGGGGCGTTCAGTGGTCTAGCTTGGAGGTTCATGGGTAGTTATAAGTGGGGTTATAAGTCCCCTAGTATAGGTCATAAGATGTTATAAGTATAGTTGCCTTACTTACAACCCTACTTATAACTGCCCATGAACCTCCAAGAAGGCTTCAGGGACTGGGAGTTCAGGGCTTCATGGGGTTGCTGGAGGGGTCGTGCCATTAGGGTTTAGGGTACAGCAGAGCATCCCCATGGATATGCAGGATCTTCGTCGAGGGTTTATGTGGCAGGTGCAGGTCGAAGGACTTGCTCTAGTAAGTTTGAAGCATCCGCACATATATAGCTATACTGACAAGGCTGCTGGTGACTGCTGATCCTTGCGGGCGAGCTTTGAGCTTAAGGAATTTAGGGTTTTCGGGTTCAGGGCAGGGTAAGGGCTTAGGGTTCAGAGTTTTTCAAGGGCCTTATCTTAGGGAGGTGACATCAGGTGCATTATGAGACATTTGGATGTGATCACCGGGAGATGCGCCACAATCTCGTATACGCGGACCTGTAAATCTAACTTCAAGCACTTTGACCTGTTTCGAGACCTTAGCCAATACCACAGTCAACACACACACACACACCACGTATGCACATAAACATATATATATATATATGTATACATAGGTGTATATATATATATATATATATATACATATATATATATATGCACATAAATACATATGTTATATTTTGTTTTATTATGCTATATTGTATTATATTGTGTTATATATATATATACACACAAACACTTCACACATTTATACACATGCCGACATCTTAACAGGCAGCCCAGTCACAGGCGCTCCTGAACCCTAAGTGCCCTAAACCCCCAAAGTAGTAGAGTAGGGAACCGTTAACCTTTGTTGGGTTTAGGGTTTAGGGGTTTAGGGTTTAAGTGTTGTCCCTATATAAACCCTATAGAACCAAAAAGGTTAACCTTTAGTTCGCCATGATACCCGACAAGTAGGCACTAAGCCCAGACCCTAAACCCCAACGCAGGCCCTCCTGTTGCTGCATCATCTTTGCGTGGTGCCCGGCGCCCGCCAAGAAAGGTGCCCTTGCAGATCGTTTGGGGCCTCTGAGGGTAGTCTTGCGATTTGTCTGTCCATCCATCCATCCATCCATCCATCCATCCATCCATCCAGCTATAAATCCATCGATCTATGAATATGCCATCCATCTGACCTAGTATCTATGTATGTGTCTGTCTGTGGGTCTGCCTGTCTGTCTATCTGTCTGTCTACCTGTCTACCTGTCTATCTACTGATCTGTGTATCTATTCATCGATCATCTACCTTTCGATCTACCTATCATCTATATCTATCTATCTATGGCTTTGTGTTGGTGTTCAGTCTTTGTTTTGGACCTACAGCTGACCCAGCCCGAGCCCCTTCGCAGGTTTGCCTCGTTGCCGCTTCTGCGGGCGCTTGGCGAATTCCCGCTGCCGAGATTGGCGAAGTCTCCCTGGGAGAGCGACCAAGAAGGCCAATCCTAGTGACGTCGTAGTGGAGACCTTAAACCTTAGAGGGGCCTTATGTCATAGGGACCTTCTTAGGGGGTAGGGGCGAGGGGGGTAGGGGACTATACTTCCTTAAATAGGCCTTAAAAGGTCATTTTGCGCCTGAAGTTACGGCCCCCTTCCCCCTCTCGAACTACTTAGAGGACCATGGGACTTAGTAAGTAGGGTTGTAAGTAAGGTAACTATAGTTATAACCAATCAAGGTACTTATAACCCTACTTACTAAGTCCCATGATCCTCCAAGTGCCCCCCTAAGGGTCCCTATGATTATGGTGCTTGTGGAAAGCTCTTCCATCGCTGAGAGGCTTAAGGTGCTAGCTGGTAGTTGCTGCAGGAAGGAAACTAGGACCTAGAATAGGGCCTCATTCCCTTTTTTATGGTTCAGGTTGATTTTATAAGCCCCTCTAAACCAAAAAGGACACCCTTTTTATTCCTGGGTTACTCTTGGGTCTAGGAAATACTTTGCAAAGCCGCAGAACAGAGCAGCGAAAACTGCTCTCGATGGCGCCTAGACCCAGTAGACCAACACACTGTGCACTTCTCGCAAACCTTCAACGAAGGCCCGTGTGCTGACGTGGCAGAGGTTGGAGAGTGCCTTACTGTGGCTGGATTCCGTCTGGAGGCGATACTGTACTAACTCACTGTTCTTTTGGGATGATGTTTCGAGCATTGAACATAGTATTCGGTTGTGGGTCTATCGGGCTCAGTACAGTAGAGCCTCAACTGCGATCCCTTTTGTTGGTTACCTAGTCTGCTTGCTACAGGACAATGTCTCATTTATAAACCGTGGGTTATCAAATCAAGCACTATACTTAGAGGACCATGGGGCTTAGTAAGGGCCCCTTAAAGGGATCTATAGGGTTCCTTAAAGGGATCTATAGGGTTTAGTTCAGGGTTTAGGGTCTACTTAGAGGATCATGGGACTTAGTAGGTAGGGTTATAAGCAAGGTAACTATAGTTATATCTACTTATAACCCCAATT